CTGGAGTATTGTGTCCAGTTCTGGTCACCTCATTACAGGAAAGATGAGGAAGCGTTGGAAAAGGTGCAGAGGAGATTTACCAGGGTGTTGCCTGGAATGGAGGGAAGGTCTTACGAGGAAAGGTTGAGAGAGCTAGGGCTTTTCTCTTTAGAACGACGAAGGTGACTTGATAGAGGTGTACAAAATGATCAGAGGTATAGATAGAGTAGACAGCCAGAGACTTTTTCCTCGGGTGGAGGTAGCTATTACGAGGGGGCATAGTTTTAAAGTGAGTGGAGGTAGATATAGGGGAGATGTCAGAGGTAGGTTCTTTACTCAGAGAGTGGTAGGGGCGTGGAATGCATTGCCGAGAGGGTAGTGGAGTCGGCCTCATTAGGGACATTTAAGTGACTATTAGATAGACATATGGATGATAGTATAAGGTAGGGGTGGAGGTTAGATAGACCTTAGAATTAGGGTTAAAGTTCAGCACAACATCGTGGGCTGAAGGGCCGGTACTGTGCTGTACTGTTCTATGTTCTATATTTTTCCCAGTGAAAAGAACCACTCCGCATTATCTTTCCGTTTCCACTGACTCGTTTATATCCCTGTCGTGTTCTCCTATATTCTCCTGGCATCTTCCCTTACTTGACCCCTCCACTCCCATCCCTGAACTCTAACCCTTCTTCCCCACCCCACCACCCCAACTATTGGTTAGTTTTCAGGACCCTGCCACTGCCTCGTTACGACTGAGCAGATTCCTGATTCCAGGACAGTTTTGGTGAAGGTGATCTAAAAGAGAGAGGTCCCAATTCTCTCAGCTGCCCACAAACTAAAACTCACCTCTACCACCCCCCAGCTTCCACCTTTACTGTCCTCTTCCTAAAACAATCTGTGCGTGGCTCAGGTAATTCTATCAATATTATTAACTTTTGAGGTTCTGCTTTTAATTTTCAGACATCAGCAGAAATTCTGTCAGAGCTAAAATCTTCAATGTTTTTTCTCCCTCCCCTCCCCAGGTTTCTGGTCTTTCCAGATGGCTGGGGAATCAGTTACTCCCCCTGAAGACCATTCCCCAATGGGCCATCGTGATTATCTTGTGTACGGTAGTTGCTACCTTCACAGAATGCACAAGCAACGTAGCTACAGCCACGCTCTTCCTCCCTATCCTGGCTTCAATGGTATGTGCTTTCTGCTTGTCATGTTGCTCCTTTACTCGGGGTGAAACACAGGTGGTGGGGGCTGGAGGGAGAGGTTTTCCTCAGGGTTACAAAGCTGTGGGTTCCAGTCCCACTTGGGGGGGTGTTGGGGAAAGAGTGCTGGATTGCCCAGTAAGCAGACCTTTGGACAAGGCCGGGCCAGCTTGGTCAAATAAGGGGCCGAACTCTATAAACAGGAATCAGTCGGGTTACTGTTCAGGAAGGTGGAGGACTAATGCGAACATCATCCCCTGAAAGTTCCCCTCCGAGCCCCTCACCATCCTGAATTGGACATATATCGCTTTTCCCTCACTGTTGCTGGGTCAAGTTCCCAGAATTCCCTCCCTAACAGCATTGTGGGATCGCCATCGCCATCGTCATCGCCATCGCCATCACCATCAGGGGCAGGCAATAAAATGCTGGGCCCAGCCAATGATGTCCACATCCCGTGAATTAATTTTAAAACTGAGCTAAATCACCCATTTAATGTAAACCAACCTGAGGGAGCTGAGGGAAGTTGGAAACGTGGCTTATGTCAGGGAGTTGATGGGATTGAGATTATTCCACTGTCCCAGGAATGGGGTGTACGAGGAAAGCAGGGATTTGTGAGAGCTCCAGAAACAGAAACAATACTCGATGTATTCAGCAACTTCCCTTATTCCTTACTGGCTGTGCCTCTCCCACTCTCAGCATCTCTCAATGAGGGGCTGTCGGAAGGATTTGCAGGTTGATACCCAATCTGTTTGGCCTCATTATGAGCACACCTTCTTTAATTATCGTGCCCTGGAGTGGGATTTGATCCTGGAACTTCTTAGCTGAGGGTTAGGGACTCTGTCCAAAGCACCGCCAGACTGACTTCCATAACATAAGACATGCTGGTATATACCATCAGTCAATATCCATCCCAGTGGAAATTGGGAACTAATTAAACAAACAAGCCACATTTCTGCTCGATAACCGAGGATTAACCCTTTACTAGCAACCAGGAGCTACTCACTTTTCAAGTAGTTATACTCGGCAGATTTGTTTTTTAAATCAATCTGTTCAGAGATGGTATGACTCACCTCTGGAGCAGGTGGGACTTGACCCCAGGTCTATCTTGTTCAGAGGTATGTTGGTAGGGACGATATCACTGCACCACAAGAACCCAAATCAATAGGTAGGATTTTAGGTTACAGAAGGGACTTAATAAGCAAAATTGTTAAGGGAAGACCAATTATACTCAACAATCACCAATTCTTATTGGTTCACATTGCAAAGAAATCCAAGCACCTTCCAAACCGACCACCACTTCCATCTAGATGGACAAGGGCAGCAGATACATGGGAATGCTGCCCTCTTCAACTTTCTCTCCAAACCTCATGCCCTCCTGACTTGGAAATATATTGCTGTTCATTCACTGTCGCTGGGTCAAAATCCTGGTATTCCCTCCCTAAGGGCATTGTGGGTCAATCCACAGCACATGGACTGCAGTGGTTCAAGAAGGCAGCTCCCCCCCCCACCTTCTCAAGGGGGCAACTAGGGACGGGGAATAAATATCAGTAATGTTCCCGTTGTATCAGGGTTTAGGGTCTGAAAGGGTTAATGCTGTGGAAGGCCTTAAGCTCCAACTATGATAATGTCATACAGACTGGATGGGAGAACAGCTTAGGGTCCCAAATGAGAGAGACCTACAATCTGCAACTTCCTCGTAGTCTCTGTAACTATGTCTATCAAAATAATGTAACTCACACCTAGTCACTATCATGTAATGAACTACATCTTGTTTAAGTGAAGACCGTCTTCTCATTGGATGACCAAGTAGATTTCTTTTGTCACATTCAACCAAGCGATCCCTCTAGATCCCAACAGGAAAGAGGATGGTGAGCAATATACAGAGAGCTTCTGCAACATGTTGAGTACTGGAACTACCCTCAGATCCCTACAATTACTGATTGTAAAGAAGGAATCCTCAACTTAAAATAGAGGGATAGAGTGGCAGAGCAGGCCTGAGGGGCTGAATGGCCTTTGGATGAAGCTGAGGTCTGCCTGGAGATGTCACTGGCTTCCCTTCAATGAGGGAAAATGCTGCTGGTCATAACCTGACCACAATCAACCCCTTCAACCTCCAGCTGCTCAAATCGAATGGATTGGAACATCTATTGTTATTGGTGGAAAGCTGGACCTAAAAGACCTGCTGCTGTGACCATCAGTTTTTATTTTCTTTATTCATTCATGGCATGAGGGTGTTGCTGGCCAGGCAGCATTTATTGCCCAGAGGGCAGTTAAGAGTCAACCACATTGCTGTGGGTCTGGAGTCACATGTAGGCCAGACCAGGTAAGGATGGCAGTTTCCTTCCCTAAAGGACATTAGTGAACCAGATGGGTTTTTCCCCAACAATTAGAAATGAATTAATGGTCATCGAAGCTTGTTAATTCCAGATATTTTTATTGAACTCAGATTCCACCATCTGCTGTGGCAGGATTCGAACCCAGGTCCCCAGGACATTATCTGGGTCACTGGAGTAACAGTCCAGTGATAATGCCACTAGGCCAGTAGGATAGTCACTGACCTCTGTGCTTCTCGTTGCTGCTGAAATTATCAATAAGGTGCTGCAGGAATACAAGATTAAAAGAGCTGCATTTCTATAGCAGTTCACAGCCAATGAGGTTCCGCTGAAACGTGATTGCTGTTACAAAGTTGGAACCACAGCAGCCAATTAGCTCACAGTGAGCTCTCCCAGACAGTAATGTGATAAATGACCAGATCCTGTGTTTGTTGGTGAATTATTGGCTGGGACACTGGGATTAACTGCCTTGCTCACCTTCAAACAGCCATGTGAAAGAACAAGCAGTGGGCCAGTTTCATGCCTCATCCATCATGGCAAGGCTGTGTGTATTCCGAATAGACACACATGGAATCTCAGGCCCAAACTTTGTTCGTCATGTGTACCGGGTTGAATATTTTGATCTCGCCTTCCAGTGATTTATTAAAGATCACACAACGCAACCACTAACACCCAGCATAGAATGATTATACCAATTTAATTTTGGTTAAATCATCGTTCATTAAACAACATTCCTACAGCCCATAATCCCAGACAACAAACACAGAATGGAGATGTCAGCCACTTCTCCTTGCTAACTTGTCTCTCTCTCTCATTCTTTCCAATCCAGGCTACTACGATCCGTATGAATCCTCTATACGTGATGGTTCCGACCACTTTAAGCATTTCTTTTGCCTTCATGTTGCCTGTTGCTACTCCCCCCAATGCCATCGTGTTCTCCTATGGCCACCTCAAGGTGTTGGATATGGTGAGTATTTTGATTGGAGGGTGGAGGGTGATGGGGAACAGTCAGGAAAGTGAAACGAATTCCCAATCTGATCAGCCATGGGGACTTGATGGGCCGAATGGCCTGCTGCCACACCATAGGGATTCTGTGATCATACTGAATGGTGGAGCAGGCTTAGGGGCCAAATGGCCTACTCTGGTTGCAGTTGGTTATGTTCTCAGACAGAGGTAGAGATGAAAATTGGAGATGCCTTGCCATGGCCTATATAAAATGGTAAATACAGAAAGTATTGATGAGCAACTGTGTCTCAGGCTGCTGGGAGCACACATTGGTATTTCCGGAAGTCACGAGCACTGCCCTTTTCGCTAAATATTTGTGATCTGGACTTTGGTGCACATTATTGAGTCCAACTCCACATTGAAACTACATGCCACCCTGATTTGGAAATATCTCCTCTTTCCTTCACTGTTACTGGGTCAATATCCTGGAACGGCCTTCGTAACAGCACAGTGGGTTATACCTTCCCCACATGCAGCTCAGCACCAGCTCCTCACTGGTAGTTAGGAATGGGCAGCAAATCCTGCTCTTGCCAACGATGCCTACCTCGTGTGGAAATACAAAAATTGCCAGGCACAGTTTCAAAACCTGTGGATGATACGGAACAAGGAAATAATGAGGAGGAGAAGCACATTCTTTGAAAGGACACAGACAAACTATCGGATTGGGCAGTTTCATGGCTGATACAGTTTGCACATTCTCCCCGAGTCTGCGTGGGTTTCCTCCGGGTGCGCCGATTTCCTCCCACAGTCCAAAGATGTGCAGGCTAGGGTGGATTGGCCATGGGAAATTTCCCATAATGTTAAGGGATGTATAGATTAGGTGGGTTAGATGTGGGGAAATGCAGGGGTGGGATGCTCTTTGGAGGGGCAGTGTGGACTTGTTGGGCCGAATGGCCTTTTGCCACAATGTGGGGATTCTATGATTAACACAGAGAAGTGTGAAGTGTTATATTTTGAAGGGAGAATGAGAAGAGGTAATCTAAACCAGAGGGTACAGTTCTAGAGTAGTTGCAGGCACAGAGACACCTGGAGGTGTGTGTGTATCTTCCAAAGTGACAGGACACATTGACAGGCTGTTAAAAAGCAGAAAGATCATCAGCTTAATCAAAACAGGCAAACAGTACAAAAGCAATGAAGCACTAAATCAAAAGCTTTGTTTAGAAAGCTCTGGTTAGTGTCCATGTATTGTGCCCAGTCTGGCACCAGGATCTAGGAGAGATGTCAAGGCTTTGGAAAGGGCACTGAGCTTTATTGAAATGTTTCAGGGGGTCGAGGGTTCTCAGTTACATGGAGAGACGTGGGAAGTTGGAGCTGTTCTCCTGACAGCAAAGAAGCTGAAAAGAGGTTTGTTCAAATAATACTGAGAGCTTAAACAGGAAGGGACTGTTTGTGGAGCGGGAGGCTCAGTAATGGGATTTAAGAGGCTGGACAAAGGGACGAAAAGTAAGGTGAGGAACTGATTTCTGTCACAGTGCGTTGTGATCTAGAACAGGCTGCTCAAAGCAAATTTAATAGGAACTTTCAAAAATGGAATAAGTCATAGGAATAATCCCAGAATAGTTCACTATATCAGGAGACATTGAGCCCACTGACTCCGTACCCAGCAATCCATGGGCATTCCATTCAGCCCCAGTGCCCACTTTTCCCATGTACCTGCAATGTTTGCACCTTCAAACTCTTCTCCCCATTTGGATCTTTAGCCAATCATCTTCAATCTGTGTCTTCCTGTTACTGAATATTCAGCAATTGGAAATAGTTTTGATTTATAGACCAGTGAACATTCAAGGGAATAATATTGCAGAGAAGAGATGGGAACAATCTACAGGAACTGGCACAACTATAATGGCCAAATGAAATCTGTCTGTGCTACATCATTCCAACAGATCGAAGGGGCAGAATGGCCTCCACCTGTTCCTGTGTAGTAGACACTCAGGGATGAATGGCCTGTGATATATGCATGATGGGCTGAATGGCCTCTTCCAGTGTCTCTGCAACGTGATCTTATTTTGGGCTCCAGCAAATTGAACCAATCTGAGTTAGTTCACTGCCTCCCCACATGAGGAACGTAGTTTTCAGGCGGCCTGCTTTTTGAGGGTATATTTAATCCAGTTTGATGCAGTCGATATTTCCCATTCCACAGGTCAAGGCTGGATTCATGCTAAACATCATCGGAGTGGCCAGTGTTACTGTGGCCATCAACACCTGGGGACGAGCCATGTTTGATCTCGATACCTACCCTGACTGGGCTAATGTCACCCACAGCGAGTGAGACTGGGAGCATGTATATTCCATCATGTGGGAATGGGGAGGGGGATTGAAGCGGGAATGGGAAGGGCTGAGGATTGGAAGCTGTGAATTACACGCACTGAATTCGAGAGGAATGTGACTGGACTAAGTGTGATTTCTTTACTGAATGGAAATATAAGTCTGTTGATTGAAAGACTGAATTATCTCCAATAGCTGGAGCCTGTAGTTGGGTTCTTCATTTTCAAATTCCTCTATAGCCTTGCTCCTCCCTCCCTCTGTAACCTTGTCTAACCCCATAAACCCTCCAAGATCTCTACACCCTACACTTATTGGCCTCTCGTTCATCACTGATTTTACTGACTCCATTCTCTGTGGCCATGCCATCGACTGCCTGGGCTCTAAGCTTAGAAATAATCCTCCCTCAGCCTCTCTGCCTTTCTGTCTCATTCCACTACACCCACCCCACCCCCAGCCCACTGCAAACGTGTCTCTACGACCAATCTAACACTC